CGACGCGGGTCTACCTGAGGGAGGCGGAGAAGGAAAAGGCGCCGCCGCCGCCGTTTCCCGGGCCGTACAAGCGGAGCTGGCGGAATGGGACGCTCGCGCGCATGCGTGCACCACGCCGACTCGACTGGGCTCGGGGCGCATGCGCCTAAGCTTCTCCTTCCCTTCCTCCCACGACGCCGGCCGGGGTTCGTCGCTCCGCTCAACCGTCTTTCCTCTTTCCGGCTCCGCCTTCCTTTCTGTCTCCCGCGCCAACCAATCGAAGGCTGCTGTCCTGGAATGGGGGAGGGGCCAATGGCCAATCAGGGAGGTGCACTTCGCCAGCGACTTCCGCGCGTGCGCACACCCACCCGCACCAGGTGGCGTTTCTCTTGCGCCTCCTGGCAGGGAGAGCGGACGGAGTGGGCGGGGTTCGGCTTGCGCATGCGCTAGGGCGGCCGCGGGCGCTTTGGAATGTGTGCCGGGTGGTCAAGCAGGTGCGCTCTGCGTGTGCTCAGAGGCACTGTTGTTCCTTCTCCTACTTGGGCTTGCAGATCTTTGGTGCGCGCCGAACAAGTCCCTGAAGGGTTTCTGCAAGGAACAAAGTGCTTTTTGCCTATGCGGGGTGGCTTTCTTTCGATCCAGTTGTAAGATAGAAAGCATGGGTACAAATCTTTCCAGTGCAAATAGCAGCTTTGGAGGCGGGGAAGATTTCCGCACAATTGCAGCGGGGGCGGGCAGAAAGGGTTAAATTTCACTCCCCACGCCCTCCCAATGTCATCCAGATAATTAGCATTCCTCTTCCCCCCTGCCCCCCATGCTTTTGCTTGCTGATTTTAACCTGCGTCTGAAATGCAAAAAAAGATGCATGCAACGGAATGGCCAAAATCCTGTTCCTTAGCACAGTAAATTGCTCTAGAGTAGGCCCCTTGGGGATTTGGTGAGACAAAGCTGCGTTTTAAGTAACGTCGGTGCATATGGGCTTGCTCTAACTGGGAAGTAACATGGTACGTAACAAAGTTGCCTCACCAAACCCCCACTGATTCAAGGAGCCTACTCTAGTGTGATTGGTAAGCAACAGGATTTGGGCAGTGTGTGATTTTGACCCTAGTGGAGATGATTCTTAGGATTATAAGCATTGAGGGCAGTCACTCATTCTTGCACGTTTCTTCCAAATAAATGCAGAGAAAGGGGTTTTGTGAACAGGTTTAAAAATTTTATTGGATAAATGCAGTTTAAATGCCAACATCCTTACACTGTCGACAGCAGAATGCCTTGGAGATTTTTCTTTCCCTGTCAAAATGACTGTTTGCAGCTAGAACCACAACTTCTACAAGTGTTCAGGAAGAAAGAGACTGAGCCCAAACTGTTTCATGTGTTTCTTACAGTTTCCTAAATGTAGTCAACGGACCCACCAGGCCTCAGTTTACCACCTAATTCTGTAAAAGGGGCAGAGCTATGTACCGTAACATCATCCCATTCCAAAAAGTAACTTGGATGCGGCTCAGTGCCATGGTTTCCCTTCTGAACAGTCTCACCTTAAGAAATGCAGGTGTCGATTCTAGTTCGCTGTCTTCTCCATCATGTCACCTGCCGATTATGCTGGCAGAGGACACAAGAACTAACAGGATTTGAATTCCATGACATCACAGGAAATCCAGGTTTCTTGGACCAGATTAATGGCTGGCTAAAGACGAGTTGCTAAAAAGAGCACAGGGAATCAGGAAAGAGATTCTGCCCCTTGCCACAACCAGCCACTTTTTTAGGAGAAGAGAACGATTAATATTTGACCGTAACATAAAATGTTCTGCAAGCAAATATTGCTATTTGTCCAGTAATGAGCCATACATTCAAGGCTTTGACAGGATTTTGTCATAACCCATATGAGGGGATCTATCCTGACACACTATGCCAGATTCTGTGAAAGCATGGAATGAACAATCACAAATGTCTTCATTCTTGACTACACATTGTGGCTTAGCACAGAAGGCAACCAGTTTAAAAAATTCTCAACTGCTGTGATTTTTCCCCCACTCCATGAGAGCAGAAAGACCAGGGTGTCTTTTCCTCTGTGAGGGGTAGAAATGTATACATTTTGCATCAATCCCCCCTCCCTTTTTTTGCACAAAAACTACATCTACAGTAGTTCAGAAATATGAAAAATGCATTAAAATTCTTGCAGTCTCTTCCCGTTGAGAGGACACCTTTGCAATTTTTTGTTCTTACCCTGAGAATGGCATATAAAGGAAGTTTCTTTCACATATTAAAACATGGAGGGAGGTGTCATTCAATCTATCTGGAAGGTTAACTATTCTGAACAAACAGAAGAAAGCATTTCTTCACTCAGTGCATATCTGAATGGACTATACTAGGAGTTAAGGGTCACTGCTAGGTTAATAATAATTTCGTGCATTCAGGTCACTTCTGGCATGGTGTCCTTTTTGGGTGGAAAATGCTCAGAAGTGGTTTCCCATCCCCTTCTTCTGGGGGGGGGGGTGCCCTGGGGCTACTGTGCAGTGTGCCCAAGGTCACCAGGGCTGGCTCTTCTCCCAGGAGGCACAGTGGGGGAATCAAACTCCCAACTTCTGGCTCCACAGCCAGAGACCTGCCTTCAAAAAGGATTAGACAAATGATTGAGGTTTACAGCTATCTATGCTTACAACTTATGATTGCTCTATATTTTCTCCAGCAGCAGAAACGGTTTGCCACAGAACATGAGTTTGGTCCTGCAACAGTCATGTCTCACGTCTGGGCTTCCCAGAAGCCACGGCAGAAATGAAATGCCGGACGAGCCTTCAGTCTAACCCAGCTGAGCTCCTCTTAAATAATTTTTTTCTTGTGCAGTTCACCACTGCTTAACGGTCAACAGAGAGAACTTTAAACTGGTGTGAAAATTTAAAAAATAAATTTCCTTAGAGGCTCAACATAGGAGCTTTCCAAGTTAAAAAAGCAAATGTGAGAGAGAGGGAAAGACAGCTTCAGTTGACATATGTCACATAACATTTTTTAGGTCATCCAGAAGCAGTGGGTGAGAGAGTTGGACAGTTGCTCTCCGGCCCCTGCCTTCCCTTCGGATCTGTTTACTTACGCAAGTTCAACATCTATATTGGGGCGGTGCCTTTATTTGGCCAATCTGGAGACGAACCAGCGGCGCACAAGTTTCTGAGTCCTCCAAAGCAATTGGGTTAAGTCGTCTTAAGACGGAACATGGACGTAGGTATTGCGATGATCCTATGGCAAAGTGCACTAGAAGTGTCATCTAACTGCTGGGACTGACAGAAATAAGCAAGGTTGAGGATCTCTCCTCTCCATTTTGGAAAATGCACAATTTCTCTGTGACTCAAACCTGTCTCCTGTGATGCAACCTGCTGCCCGGTCAGATGAATGATTTGCCTAACCCAGTCTTGTTTACTTTGACTGGCAGCATCCCTCACAGGTCACTGCTGCAGGGGTGCTTTACCAATCCTTGAACCCGATTCTTTGGCCAGGAGTTTCTCTTAATTAAACGAGGCAGGGACTTCATGGACACTCAGTATGTGCCGTGCCCTCTGATCAGTGACAGCTTGGTTTCAGATGAGCCCCTAGAGAAGGAGTCAGCAACAATGTGCCTGAGCACAGAAAAATGGCCATACTTGGAAATATTTTTTTCCAACTACGTTTCCCAGAATTCCTCCTTTTGGTCACGCTGGCTGGGGCTTTCTGCAATTGTGATTCAAAAAAGAGTAAAATTTCCAACCTCTGGAAACAAGTCTACACAGGCCCACTTTGCCAAATGGTAGGGCTGCCCGGGCAACCCTCTCACTGAGATGCAAACACCCGAATGTCGCAAAGAAACAACTTCGCCACCCCGCCAGCTTGATCTTTATTGTCAAAACCTGTGGTAGATTTTCCCTAGTTCTCCTGAGTTTCTGCAGAACTGGAATGGTTCAGCTTCAGAAGGGTGCCTTTTTATTATTTCTAAATACCTCAGATCTGATGTGTTCGTGCACTGCCTCACTGTTCACTGTGCAGACTTTGTTATTGTGTGTGTCACGCGCCATCAAGTTGGATCTAGCTCGTATAAACCCTAGCAGGTTCCTCAAGGTAAGAAATTTAATGAGTGGCTTTCCACTTTCACCACTACCCTGGGGGAATTTCTGCGGTTGAGCAGGGATTCGAACCCACGTCTCCTGATTCTCAGTCCAACACGCTGTCCACCACATGTCACTGGCTACCTGTAAGGCAGCTACATTATCTGCTGATCCATTTGGTAGTGGAGGGGGTACAGTTTAAAATTACTGGCCACGTACCTAGGGCTTCGCTCATGAAAGGAATTTTCATCAACCTTTCATGAGCTCTGCGATTGTCATGGCCTGTATTTGATGTCCCAGCACTACCTGAAGCTTGTTGCTGGTGAATACCCTACCCCTGTCCATGAGATGTCCTCCCCAGTGAATGACGGGTACCACTAAGTATGCTTTTCGGAAGTCCTCACACTCAGAACCCAAAAACGGGTCTGCAATTACCTGTTTTACACTCTGCTGCATGTTTTTTTTTCTTCAAGCAGATTCCTGGCTGGAAAGTAAGGTTTTCTGGAAAGTGTGACTGAGAAGATGGGTCATTCTGATAACAGGAATTGGAGATTAATTTGCTGAGTGCCTTCAAGGCAATTCCAACCTATGGTGAACTTTTCTAGGGTTTTCCAGATAAAGTACTCGGAAGTGCTTTACCTTTCCCTTCCACTAGGGGTGCCCTGAGACCGTGCAGCCTGCCCAAGGCTACACAGGCTGGCTCTTCTCCCAGGAGGCACCATGGAGAATCGAACTCCCAGCCTCTGGCTC